AAAACGCTCGTTTAAACCGCGTTTACGAAAACTTCTTGGTTTTCGAGTAATAAATTCGAGAAAATGTTGCCGGTTTTTAACTTTGACCCCCCGCCGCGTCTCCCCAAAATTTTTGGGGGGCTTGAAACTTTGGGAAAAGATGGGGCATTGTTAGGTGAATGAATAGGGCAAGTCTCAAAGGTATCCGCCCCGAGCCCCAAATGGCCCGTTTTGCACGTAGTCCTTTACCTCCACGATGACACAAAATGTATTCAATTCTAAATGGTTGTATCATCATGATTTTAGATTTCTTATTTATCCTTTATGGCCTGTGATTATAAAAGAATACTTTTCTTCCAGTCTAGAATAATTTATTTTTTATATACTTCTGTACGTATAAGGTACAAAAATGATGAAATAATCAAATCAAGAACTCACCCCATTCAAGAATTCATCCTCTGCAAAATCCAATTCATTTCGAATAGCCCAGTCATAGTCATTTGTGATGTCTGTATATTCATAATATTCCTATAATTACAACAAAATAAATTAGGTATGTTTAATTTCGTCAGCCTTAAAATTCCTTCATTCTAGGAAAATTTCTTCACTCCATAGAAATGTTGAAAGTATGCATTGAGCCAAAACCATTTTGAAAATCAGCAAGTTTTTTTGGGTATTTACCTGATTTCTTTCTAAAGCAAAGGAAACAAGTTTTCATTGAAAAATTTCTGGTTCTAACAGATTCCTTAGGGCTACGCGCAAGCTTTGCTTGGTCTTGGGTTAGCTTAAACATTTTCGGCACCAGTGGTGGCCACTCTTTGTAATAAAGTACATTCTCTGGCAATCAATGGCATCAGGAAGCAGGTAAATTCCACTTATCATCAAAGGAGGATTAAAGGCAGAAGAAAATAAAAAGATGGTTAGATTATAGGTCTTAGTAGAAAGCGTATTGAGCATAGAGTACATAGAGTCGTAATGTAAGTGGGAGAGCTGGCGCCATGTTCTGCTCGACGAATTCCGAGCCCAGTGTGCGCCGAGTTCGGGTCACTTTTTCGATACATTTTCAATCCAAAATGGCGGTGTGGAATATGTGGTGATTCCTATCTCCTTTGTTGTTGTTGTTGTTGTTGTCATCGGATGGCCGGGTACCCGTGTATCGCAAACAATCGATTATGTATCGAAAAAGTGACCCGGCGTCACACAGGAGTCTCGGAATTTGGGACATGGAAAATGCTTAAAAGTGGCGCCAGCTCTCCCACTTACATTATGACTCTATGTACTCTATGGTATTGAGTGAGTAGGCAACTACCTACTTCACAATTTGATCTACTTCTATCAAATTTTGTGAGTCAAGATGCGACATATTGACGACTAAATAAACAAATGTCCACCTCCGAGTTGCAAGTCTCTATGCATGTTTTATTTTTTTAGGGGAACACTAATCAATTGTTTATCTTGAAATATTCTATGAATTTTTTTCTTTCATTTAAAAATAATTACAAAGAATCTCAAGGAGATATTATGGGCAGTTTTTCTTTAAAAAAATATATGTAATTTTAGACATTTCAATGGAGATACATTATTTCCGACTTCGGCCACCAATATAGAACTTTGACTTTTTCAGGATATTTATGTACTTGCCATAGAACCTTTTTTCCCTCTTTTTATTAAAAGAGAAAAAAAGGGAATCTTGTAATTTTGCACAAATAAGTATATGATAAATAGTTTTCTGTTCTGCTTTATTTGACAAATGGATGAAATGATTGGATCATACCTGCTCAAAATCAATGTCGTCAGCTGATCGAGGACCTCCCCTTCGGCGTGGATTTTGCTCGGGCTGGATTTTTGGCTTTGGTGGGGATGGAGGTGGGCTCTCTTCTTCCTCTGTCTCTTCTTCTTCTTCGTCTTCTTCCTCCTCTTCTTCCTCTTCTTCTTCAGTTCCAGTCTGGGCATCAGCTTCTTCATCTAAAAAATGATACAAGTTGACTCAGTTTTTTCATGTGAGCAGAAAGTTCAGATGTTTTGTAACCAATGCTGAATAAAAACGCTATTATCTTAGTTGGAAGTTAATTTCAGTAATTTTTGTTGCCCAAATAGTGTTTCGAGTAAAATTTGGAAAAATGGATTTAAATCAGAATGCTTAAATTTTTACCTAGTCTAGTGGTTCATTGTTTGTCAATCATGTACCTCCTTAAAAATAAAAATCGCAGCTTATTCTGAGAAAAATCAAGGAGTAAATATCATTCATTGATATTGATTGAATCTCAAGGCTTTAAAGTTAAGGCTAATAAACATACACAATTTAGACTTGCATAGAATAATAAGGGATGAAAACATTATAAAGTCCATCAAAAATTCCAAACTAACATTTAATGATATTTTAATTACTTACTTTTCCATCTATCAGGAGTGTCGTCAACTTCATCATCTGTCAGTTCTGCATTAGACTCTGCTTCACTGTCTGCTGGAGTTGCTGATGCTTCGTACGCAGTCTAAAAAATGGGCAAATTTTTCAAATGAAGTGATTGGTGTGTACAATAATTATACACAAATAGGTGACATCCGTGTTAAAATCGTAGTTTTTGTAAATTATGGAATGAGATGCGTCAAGAGGTTTAGTAAGCTACTTATAGCATATTCAAATAATTCAGGTGAGATAGCAGAACAGAGATTTTTAAGAATTTTTAAATACTTGCACATTTTTTAACAACAACTTATTCTGGCCACATTGAAGAGTATCCTAATATAATCTGGAAACTAATGATGGGAATAAAGAGGCGGCAGTTGCTGGAGAAATTCTGCGGAACATATAATGGGTAATAAAATTGAACGGATTGTGACAGCAAGACTCAAGTATTAGTTGAATTTCTGTCCTCTGACTAAAATTTTAAGACAGATTTTCCAACGATGATGTTTTGCAGGCTGATAATAGATTTCATGATGAATTTTACCACATGAAGAAAAAGAAAATAAGTAATTGTCGTATTCTTACTTTTGCTGCGTAATTTTCAGACACCTGTTCATCCTCACTTTCTTCTGGAGTTCTATCTTCCATAGCTTCATCTTCAGAACCTACAAACACAATTAATAGACAGAAAATATAAAATAAGTAACAACAGATCAGTGCTATAATTATCTTAAAAATGGCTCCTAGTAAAAAGATGAGGTACTTGAAAGATGAGAAACCTGATTCTTAATCAACTTAAAATGAGGAGAACAAATTAAATAAATAAGAAGAGAAAACTGACTGAAAATTGATAAAGGTAAGACATTGTTTTATTGATGGAAGGATGTCATTGATCAATAATTGGTTCTTATTTTCATTCAATGCCCTTTAAATGTTATGTTTACTGTGCTATTCAGTGTGCGCTGAATCTTTTGAGCCCAAAAAATGTTTGAGTCTGAAGAATGCCTGTTCAAATCGGGCTCAAAAGATTTAACACACGTTGAATGACATATATTTTCCTGTTTTTCTCGAGACTTGAATTTTAGCACTTGGGCCCTTGGGAAAAATATTGGGTTCATTTAGCTTCACCTCAGAGACAACAAACAACGAAAAATTTGCTTACAAAGAAAAATTTGCTTTTTTGCCCCTCTCCCATTTTGAATTTTTGTTGGAAGTAGAGATAAAAAAGGTACACACTACTCACCAGATGGGGTTGGTAACTCTGTGTCTAAGTCAACTAGTGACTCTCTGCGGTCAATAATCTCTACTGTGTCACTTGTATCATTTACGTTACTTTTATCCACTGCTTCACCTTTATCTTCAACTTTTGCGCTGGGGTCTGAAAATTAGAAAAAAAAGTATTACATACATACCATTTCAAGAAAGTTTCTATTTCCAGCTGATTGAAATTTTAAAATTATAAAACTCAACATAATTTAGGAAACAATGATGAAAATCATGAGCTATACCTGATATTGGCTAATTTGAAGTTTAAGCGTTAAAATTAAGACTGATTTTCAAACACGTAAATCTGACGTTGTCTCTCTTCACGAACTCGCAAAACCGTACTCATTAGGCCGCTCTTTACTGGGTTACCACTGAAAAACTATAGACTTGAATTTTTGCTGCAAGTAGTATGCAAGCAGTAATTATGGCAATAAATCAGAGTGTCTTAAGGTTTTCTTTCTAGGTCTAGTAGTAAGAGTGCAAAATGCATGTTTCTTTCAGTAATTTGAAGAATTTTCAAGCAAAGTTTCATCCCAGAACTTGATTAATACAGAAAAGGTTCTTGTGGTCAAATGTAAAACAAACATATCGGTAAAAAAAGTTAATAAAATTTAGTTGATTAAAATTTTGCAAAATTTAGTAAGCTGGAAGCAGAGAGGGTTCTTCAATGCAATATACTTTTAAAGGATCTTACGGATGCTGGGCATGGCCAGTGTATTCATAATTGTGTAGCTTGGATTGAAATTTTCAAAATTAAATATTTATTTTGGAAATCCTACAAAAAGAAAAAAAGAGGGAAAGAAAAAAATTTGTAAAAACAGTGGGCAACTGTACATATAATCTGATTTAATGGTGTTGTACACTGTCCGATTTTCAAATAAAAATGTATTAAAATAATGTATAATATGATAAATGCGAAAGTTAAAAAAATCTTTGGCTTTCAGGAAAATAAAATAAATTAAAATATACCATAAAAAGAGGTGTTGGTATTCAAAATCAGTATTCGAAAAAGGGAAATGCAAAAAGAAGGGTTAGTTGCCATGAGTTAAGCTCAAATGCCTCAAAAATGCATCATGCTGCTACCACAAGTAAAATTCAATGCAGATTTTATACTCAATTTATATTCTTTAACTTGGAGTTGTCTGCATCCTTATTTATCGTAAAGTAATCATTTAAACATTTGTATTCATCATAGCAGTAGCAAAAAACGTGTTCAAACACAAAAAATTAAAGCTTGGGTAAAAAATACTGACGGGAGGAAATTTTTTTTGGCCTATTATATGGCTTACTTTTAAAGTTTTAACAGACAAGTGTCATTCATGATGAATTTTTCAATAATGCAGATGTATGAATGCAGCTTTTCTACATTCAAATACATCAAATTTCTACGAAATTTCGACAGTCAAAATAATTTTTAAACACAAGTAGTCAAAATCGCTTTAGGAAAAATATAATAAATTACATTATTTTTAAAATCTTTTTAAAATTTCAAAAACGAGCCTTGACCTCAGTGAAAATGGAAGTAATTTAATAAATGATTCATGTGTCTCGTTCCTAGTCTATTCACAGCTTGAAGAGAAGGGGAAAATTTGAAGAGGAGAAGGCGGGGAAACTGATCATAAAAGATATTATAAACCACACACAAAACTGAAAGTGGGGAAAATCACGGAGACTGTAGGTACTGACCCCAACTATTCCATTTTCTAATGAGAACAACGTGCGCCACTACGATTAAAGCGACACCAACCCCAAATTTTACTATCACTGGAAAAGATAAAAAATTCATTACATTCTCAACTTGGATGCAATTTTTCCGACTATAGATTAGGAGTTACTAAAATTGACTTTTATATAGACTACCTGCTGAAAAATTGAATACAAAATGATACAGATAGATATAACCACTGATTTATTGGGCACATAAAACGATAAACATTTCAAGAGATGCGTTTTTTAAGTGGCTACAGGAGGCTCTTGTGGCACATCCTTCCTGCCTTTTGCACCCCTTTAATCAAATACAAAAATTGAATAAATTGAACACACACAGCGAAAAAGAAGAAGACAATAGCCAATGAATGAAAACAAGATTTTGGGACAAAGGAGCTACTGAAGTAGCTACTTTTAAAAGCAGAGGCTTGAATTTTCTATCCTTTCAGAGGAAGAGCAAGAGAACTTGTACTTTCTTATGAGTCCATAGTTTTCAAACAAGTTCCTGATAATTATGTTCAAAGGGTTACTCTGTCTCATTGAGTAAGTTACCAGATCTGCCATTTTATTGACTGTGATTGAGGGCTTTAATATTTTAATGCTACAAAAAATCTGTTACATAATATGATGTACCTGAAGGAAAGAAGACTTAATGTAAGTTGCCAAATTTTACTTTTTTCCAACAAAACGGAATTTAGGTTAAAATTAGTGATTTCCAGTTTTTAATGCTGAACACTTTCTGCGTATCTCAAGAGCACATTCTCTCACAAATTTTAAGTCATAATGTGCATTTTTAACAGTGTTATGAGCATTATCGGTGAAGGTGGGTCAAGATCAACAACAGTGCGAGGAATCCATCTTGACTCAGATTCTTTGGGTAAAAAGGTTTCAAAACTTTGATTGCGTTTTTCTTGAAATCAAGATTTTTTAGTTCTCAAACTATAAAATTATCTAGAAAAGTCAACTTGGGGAATTTTTCAGTGTAATTGCCGCAAATCCCTTTGTCATGAAACACAATTATCTTGATTTTTGTTTTCTTCGCCTTAGGTTCCCTCTCTCTTGGGTGCATCACAGTTAATGGTATTTAGTTCCTGAGAATTCCATCATTTTGATATACGTTTCAAAAGCTTTTGAACTAGCGATCATAAATGAGTTGGTTTTCCCTCCTTAACTATGCATTTACACCATGTGCATAGCATAATCATATTTTGTGACGTAGACTCAAAAAGTTAAATGTATTACCTCCAACTGTTTCTTCATTATCGTCATCATCTATCACTTCTTGCACACTTTCTTCTTCCTGCAAAATGTGAAACAAATGTCAAAAGAAAGCTAATAATTTAATTGTGATACGAGAGCTTTTACAGATTGTACTTAATTTGGACTTTAATTCAACTTACAGGACTCTCTCTAATTAGTGGAGTCTACAGGGCTCTCTTTCAATAGAGTCAAGAAAAGACAAAATAGAGACTGGTTTAAAAAAAGGAAATCCCACATTGTAAAATTGTACAATCAGTTCCTGATCTATTTTGTACTTTGAATTTTTACATCTTTGATGTAAGGAATGAAAAGTTATGAGTTGGACATACTTTCAAATATGAGTCCTATGTACATTTAGCCCCAATCTGCACAGACAGTTGGGGTTCTATCACTTATGAGCAGGATGACCAAACTCTGAAATTAATACTCTATTCACAGAATGTCTAGTTAGCAGGATCAAAGTCTTGAACTCCAATAGGAAACACTTGCTTCACCTTTCCATTTTCTTCCGTTTCTTCATTTTCTTCCTGATCTCCTTGCACTTCTCTCGTGGGCTCCTCATCAAAAGCTTCTATGCTCTCTTCTTCCAATTTCTTCTTGCGCAGTCCGCTCATCACATTTCTGATATGCTCTTCTGCTTCTGTTTCGTACGGTTTGTCTTTTTCTAGAAATATAAAAATGCAAGTGTTACTTCTTTGAGACAATCCACAGAAAAACACACCCTGAGAACTTAAAGTCAGCGTTTCGTTGCTGTCACAAAGATTGACTGTGAATAACTTAAAATTTAATAGAGTTAAAACTTTCACAACAACTTCCACTTGCTTTATTAAGTAAAATATTGACATTTAAGTTGATGAGGCAATAATATGAAAAGAGAATTTTGACAAAAACGGTGTGGGTATATCTACCATTAAATATAAAAAAGTTTGGGGCCTTTCGCGGATGTTTCTCTCCAAAGTTCCCAAATTTTTGGAGGTGTGGGGGAGAAAAGTGACCTCTTTGGCTTTAATGGTTACCATGAAAAGCGAAATAAGGATCCTCACTTTTGAATTAAAAGACACTTTTTTTTTGCAAACTGAAAAAATAGGAGTAATTGAGGCGCAGCAAAATTTACAAATGTAGTTTTGAAAAATTAGGTGGTTAAAATAGAACAAGGCTATCAATCACAAGTTTGGAGGTTTTTGTATTTATGTACTTATAATTTAAATGTGACAGCCTGTGATTTCTTAAAAAATTTTGAACCTCTTTCTAAAAGCTGCTTCTTCTTAAACTCATTAAAACTTTCACTTTACATTTTTGATAAATATTTGCACAGGAAAATGTTGAGCAAATAATTAGAAGAAATTTGGGGATTGGAAAATAATGACGATGACAGAACGCTTTAAAAGTAATGATATTTTAGAAAGCAAAAAAAGAGAGACAAAAATGTAGTTATCAGCTGCAGGAAGGAGGTGGGAAAGATGAGTCATTTTGGATGCAAAAAAGAAAGTCAAAGGGAGATGTAAATCTGAGGGAAAATTAAAATCAACCAACCAAAATCGAGCAAAAAAAAGGGAAAAAAGAAAAAAAGAAAAGGGGGAACAACAATACCTACGAGGCAACCTCTTCTTTTGACATTAAGTTTTCCAGAAAAAAAATCACTCAATTTTTGTTCTGGGTGGAAAATATAGACCAAATTATACAAAAAAGACTTCAGAGAAAATCAAATTTAAACTGAAAACTAAAAAACTGAAAAAAAACCAAGGTATACAATAGGCAGACCACCCAAGAGTAGTTTAAGCGCAATGAATAGGTAATGTTGAAAACAATAGATTGGAGGGCATGGATGGGAAAAATCACTGTAATTGTTTGCATTGCTTGCACTTTTTTTGATAGAAAAAATATTTTATTCACTCAAAAAACTTGTTAATACCTAAATGAAGAGCAGATTATTATTAAGATAATCACGAGCTCGGACTACACAGGTAAAACATTATTTTACCATAAGAAAGTTAAAATTTTAAAGTTTGACTGATAGTCCTTCAGAGTAAAGTAAGTTTAATTGTTAAAAACGTTCAATGTCTGCTCTACTGTTCATCTGTTGCTACTAAATTTATTCTTATTCTTATAAGGAAAGCACGCGAATCCAAATATTGTTATTTTTATACATTCCAAAATTATTTCATCCATCTGCCAGGGTGGTTAGGAGAACCAATTTATATGTTGTTAAAAGTGAAGAGCATGCTGCCACCTTCGAAGGTGGTAAACTCTTCTGCTGAGAATTTCACTTTGCAAAAACAAAATCGCAAAAAACCACAAATATGAAACACTCTGAGCATGACCTTACGTGGTTCAAATCTTGTTTTCCTCTCCTGCGATCTGGCCAGAATCTGTCTGATAATTTCGTTATCATCACTGTCATCTTCCTTTTCATCAGCTTCATCAATGTGTCGCTGTGGTTTATTTTTGTGGAATTTATCCTCTTCCTCTTCCTCCTCTTCTTCCTCTTCCTTTGCATCATTTACATCATCTTCTTCTTCCGCACTAGCCTCATCTTGTTTCTCGGCTTCATTGCTCCTGTAGTATTCATCCTCGTCTTTCTCACCAAATAGATCGTTTTCATCCACTTCATTATCTTCCTGCTCATCATCATTTTTGTCATCATCGTCATTGTTATCATCATTGTCATTGTTATCATCATCATCATCATTATCATCACCTCCATCTTCATCATCATCGTTTTCGTCATCATCATTTCCAGGTGCATCACGATCTTCTTCAGGTTCATTTTCTTCTACTCCAGCATCATCATCTCCTTGAGTCTTATAAATGCTTTGGTAGATACTTTTATAGAAACCAAAATCTCCTGATTTGGCATCACTTTCAGGCTGGTTTTCGGATTCAGCCTCATTTTCATCGTCTTGATCAGTTTCGTGGCTATCTCCTGCTTCTTCTTCGTCTTCTGCATGTTCTTCTTCTTCATCATCATCATGCTCTGACTCAGATATACCAAACAAATCGAATCCTACATCATGTTCACTTTCCTCCTCTTCTGAGTGATCTGCATTCAAGGAACATTTTTATGAGAACTGTACAAAATTTTTTGGAGCACTTAATGAGACAGCAAATTTAAGATAAGGGTATGACGATCAATTATTTCTTTGAAGTAACACTAATTACTTATTTCTCTGGAATTCTTTAATTTATTGATACCTAAATTAATGTATTTATTGGACGGATTTGAGTTGAAATATCTCGGAAATATTGGGCTCCAATAAAAAAAAAAGAAAAAAAAAAAAAAAAAAAAAAAAAAAAAAAAGAAAGAAACAAAAAGAGCATAATTTTTACAGGGAAAGGAAAACAATTGAAAATTTCCTGTGCTTACAGACTGCAGGAGGATGAAGTTATTTCCCCTCGTAACAAGTGAAACAATTAGAATATATCAATTTATCCCAAAACTGGGCACAAAGCCAGGTTACGTGGAATAAAAATAATTGTGCACACCTACCGCAAGAAATGAGCATTTCACTACGCATTATGAGTTTGGTACACATGCGCCATAATTTTATTTAAAAGTTTGTCGCTGAACTGCCGATTTTGTACGGCTGAATTAAAATAATAGTAGCAATAAGATCTGCCTGTGTTTTTGAGAAATCTTCAAGACACGACCTTGTTTAAGGATCCTCTACCTTTTTCCTCTTGTAACACAGCATGTATACAGTAAACTGATGATTTCAGAAAAAACTTAGACGGGCATGTTTATACCTGAAAGTTTTAAAAGAATTTGGAGTAGCCTCCTTCGAGTTTTTTTCTCCTAATTAGACATTATTACCAGAATCATGATAAGAGGAAAGAAAGCTAAATCAAAGGAGATGAAAATTGAATTTATGTGGTTGCATTTTCGTACTCAGAAAAAGGCCTTGACATATGAAAGCAACATTAGAAATACATAGGTAAAATTAACTAGGCCTTAAGGTTTCTGTGAGACCGAGGAGTTCTCCAGATGGACCCCTTTAAACAAAATTTACTGAGTAATAAGGTAGGTAGGTACATTCTAAGATTGCGTTTCATCTACAGGTAACATTACAAAGAACAATGCATGAAAGGTAGATAATATTTCCAACCATGCGATCACAGAGTGTGAAGGCACAGAGAGCTCCATCAAGGCTAAATCACAAAAGCAATAAAACATTTCAGTGGCAGTTTTTATTAATTTTTTACTGAAGAGAAAATGATGACTTTTTGACAAAATCATATAAAACGTTTTCAAAAACTTTGCTGTTATGTTCTATAAAAAAGAAAAAAAAGAGAGGAGTAAAACTACGCACCAGTGGGTAATAGGGTGTGAGACAGAGATAGAATCTTTAAAAAAGAATATAACAAGTCCCTCTTTGAAAAATTCTTACCGAAAGCAAAAAATGTCAGTCTTCAATGGCATATAAGATATACCGTGAAATAAGTATGTTTGGGCTCCTGCACACACGATTTTATTTTTGGCACATAAAAATAGTGACAAAATATTGAAATTTTTTTTTCATCATATTTTAATATTTATTGTTCTGTGTGAAACGCTCAGGCAGATAGGTAGCTAGTTGTATAGATTGGCAAGTAGATAGGTACGTAGATGAATATGTAGGCCGGTACATTTTTAGTTTTGTTTTGCAACTCATAAAAATGATGGGTATAACATCTCTTAACTCTCACTCCTGACACTTTCATACATTTCTGAGTCTTTTGGTACTATCCAGATCATTCATTTTCAAATAACAAGAATTAGAATTACCTACCTGAAACACTGTGTTCTTCTTCATGCTCATGATTGTCATGCGCCTCATCAACCCAGCCTTCCAACATAACAGACCATGGTGAATCAGCCGCAGACTCGACTAAAAATAAAAAAATACACATAGGAATAATTTCAATGTTAACTTATTTCTAATCACTTAAAATGTACAGTGCTGATCTATTAAATCAGCACCTAGACACTAAGAGATCTTTAGAGCAGGTACATATATATGGGGCAAAGTCAGGAGAACCCATTCCATTTTTTTTTTCAGTGTGAATAACTTAGCCACATTCCAAAAATCTTCAAAAATGATTACTTACTGCTATAATGATGGCGATACAAGCCATTAATGATTGATGAAACAAAATCGAAGAAAAATCCAGGGAATTTTAAAGTTTTCATAGGAGAGAGGATTTTTGAGTCCGAGAAGTGCAGAAAAAATCCCTCGGAAGTGTGCAAAAAATTGAGTAACTACTCTGTAAATACTGAGTTTAAAGTCTTAGAGTGCAATTTTTGTGAGCAACAATAGCTGGTAAGCTTCGCTGCATTTTCAACAGAATTGACTTTTTGAACCTCCAGTTTGATTTCCATTGAAACTTTTAATCCAAACAAGTGGTTACGTTTGCTGGTTTGAATGTGTTTTTTCCAGTGCGATAAAAGCCAAAATGAAGATTCTCGTGATGGTGGTTTGCTATCAATGATCTAAACTAGAGTCCCTTTATACCCAGAGTTACGACAACTCGATTATCAGCTGACTGACAGCCGGCCTTGGCTGGCCATGGAGGCCGAAACGAGTGCACCCAAACGAACGATATTGAGGGATAAGGATCAGGAATCCTGCAATGTCTGTCACACAAAAACAACAACATCAACAAACTGATCAATTAAAAATAAAATGAGATTGGTTTGTGAATGATTTCTTAATCAATTTTCATTTTGGACCGATGGAAATAACAATTTACTCTTGATAAACCACAATTAGGTAATATTTTCATTATTCTTGTTCACATACGAGGTACCGCCATCTTGGTGCACTCGTTTCGGCCTCCATGAGCGAGAACCAATCAGAATTGGATTTTTTTTTAGGCCACTTTCAGCCCAACCCTGGCCCAACCAAAAGTGAGTTGTCGTAACTCTGGGTATCACAGAACACATAACATGGGTATAAAGGGACTCTAATCTAAACTTTTACCTAACTTCTGGCTGCAACTCATATTACTGCACAAAATTCAAATACGTGTGTTATGATAGCTCTTACTTACCATCTCCAGATCCATGAAATTCTATGATGAGGAGTCCAACAAGGATAGCGAGGGTGCCAAACAAGCCAAAGAAAACAATTTTTGAGCAAAAGTTCCCTCCAAGATGTGCATCTTTGTGGACATGTATGTTTTCTTCATTTGTAGGGCTAGGAGCAGGTATTAAAAGGGGCACTGTGTCCTCTGTTGAGTCATCAACTGGAAAAAAAAGTTTGAAATTATTACAAGTAATTTATTAATTATAAACAATTAAGTTTATTCTGCTTTCACTCAAGTTTTTGATAAATGAATGTCAGCATGGAAAAATGTGCCTTAGGATGCAGGAGAAAAATAAGATAAATATTCCTTAGGTCAGGAGAGTTAATCCTGCATCATTAAGCGAAAAAACAATACCCAAAAATGCCAAAATTTGACCGTTTGGTAGCGATACATAGGCCTGGAATGAAAAACGGAGAGGCCTTGCTGCATTGTGCATTAAAAATGTTAGTACCTATCTAGAACTCTACAAGATATAGCAATTTAGCGCCAATTTTTGGACAATATAAAAAACCCGGTCAGTTGAACTCATTGTCAGTCGGAATCCACGGCCCCACATTTGGTTCTTACCAAGAGGTTTAAAAGATGATAAATGAATACAAACATAAATGAAGTGGTTTTATAACGCTTTTTGCCCATTTTTTCGTAAGTGGCTTAAAATTTTCTTCAGTTCGTTTACTGAGTGAAATTATAACGGCTAAATTTGTTGTTTCCTATCTTTGGTTTTTGATGACGGCGCAGAGATACAACTATTCGTACGTGATGGATGTCCGTGTTGCCGCTAAAAAATTGAAGGCGCTTCGATTGGTGGTTCTCGCTCAATTCGCGCTGAGCATGCGCGGTAGATTTGGCGCCAAAACGACCCGACATATGAGGTTTTCAGTGCAATTTCTTTTAATTATAAATGAAGAACATTGAGAAATGTTTCGAAGAAAGTTCATAGGATGATAACTTTCCAAAATTCTTGATTCCGCGGGGAGAAAAAAAATTAATTTGAACCGTAAAAAAACTGAAAATAATTCCTTTTTCAGGAAGTGGGTGTGATCACTTGTCATAACTCTTTCCTATAAATCATATAAAAAAAAATTAATTCATTAGTTACAAATGGACATCTAGTAGATAATAAGGCACAGCATCAATGGTATTATACTAACTGAATAACGCGCAATGACTTTGAGTTTAAAAAAAATATTATTAAACTTGACGAACACCGGGAGCAAATCTATGGTGAAATTAGAATACCATCGACGGTGATACCAAACCACGTACCTATCTCGGATTGGAACATTGTAGACTTCCTGTCAGGCTTTATTTTTTTAATGGAAAACCACTCAACGACAATTCTTCAAAACTTCCGTGTTTTTCGCTCTATACGCAGAGAAAAACTCTGTAAAAATTTCAAGAAGTTATATAGATTTTTTCTCCTTCAAAAAGTGAAATGGGGGCGGAGATTTTCAAACACCACCAACGAGATACGTGGTTTGCTGGTTCGGTAGTTTTACCGCCAATATGCGTCTCTTCATGCGCATACAATTCTAAAATGCTTAAAAACAGGAACCGACTGAATCATGTTCCAAGAGAGGAGAATCCACGGTAGCAGGCTTGTAACAAAATAAATCATATTTGTACGACCAAACATCTTCTCTTGTTCACCAGTTGCTCCTGGGTGCGAAGCGTGGCGCGTGACGGTTTGACGCGGTCCACGCGGCTGACAACCCCCCTCCCCCTCCCAATTTACTACTTGGAGAGGTTCAAGCTCCCAGAGATATTTCCCACAATTTGCACGCGCGCTCAGGTTATTTTTAATCTTAGCCCAGTGACACTGGCCTTAATGCTGAGAGCATGGCGTACGAAAATATTTAAACCAGAATATTTATTCGGCTCGGAATAAGATGAAAAGATTAGTGACGTATTGGTCCTTATCGATGCTTCCTATCCAAGAATGCACGGCTCTTGCCATTCACCTGTGTCTGCAACTGCATGCCAAATGTCTCGGCGGGATTCCTGAGTGCATTCCGCATGCTTGATGCATTTAGGATATTCTTAACGATGGTCAGTAATGCAAAGTACCTTACACAGTGAAAACTGGATTACTCGACCTCATCGATTGATTCGGGTTGTTCCCGATGACCATTGGCAGATCCAACAAATTGGCAACATTGTTTTTTTCTATTTAAACCTATGGAAAAGTATCGATTCTTAAAGGGGCCAGGTGCTCCGACGAGAATCGATAATTTAACATAGGTTTATATTGGGGGGGGGGGAATCCGGTGTTGCCAAATTGCTGGATCCGCCTCTGCCGATGACTCAAAGTTCACGTCAAGCATTGGGTGAAGAGCGGTGAAAGCATGGGCACTTGCGAGCATACATTTCGTGCTTTCATATGATGGACAAATGGGACAATATCTATGGTGAAACTGGAACCTCTTAGGTGGTGTTCCAAAATCGCCGCTTCTATTTGGATCGCATTAAACAGAAGGGAACCAAGCCTCATCTGCTATTGCCTTTGATCCGGCAGTTCAATTTCTTGCATGAAAATGGTTGTGCGGATTTTTGTGCAAAGTTCAGTGAATTTTCTTCACGGTGCGAAGCAAATTCCACACAAATTTCAAGGAAATCCGCACAACCGATCCCTCGCAAAAAATTGAATTTTCCCAGTTAAATTTAGCAACAGCTGATGTGGCTTGGTTCTTTTCTGTTTGACGCGGCCCATTGTATTTTATCAAAGGAGAACGAACCAACGCTGCTATTGCTTGAAACTTTCACATGCAGGATATATTACAAGCACAGAGGAAAAATCAGGAAGGTTTTCATCCCATTTGAAATGAAGTTGGGTATTTTTCCTTCTACGAGATAAATTATAACAGAAATATAGAATGTCTGTAGCATCGCAAACCAAGTTGCGCATTTTTGTAGTTTCACCGTCGATAAATAAAATAGCTAATGAAAACTTGCCGGAATTCTTATTGATGACATTTGATGGCTACTGTCCACCGCAACGTTTCAAAATTTCCGATTGTATGTACTCTTCTTTTTAAAGAAGACTAATATTCAAATGCCTCGTTAATATTTCTGTGAATATGTTAGAATGAAAGAAGAATATTCACTAAAAATTAAAGAAAGAATGGTGGTTAGTTTTCCTTAAAAACTTAAAACAAAGCGGTGATTGTCGTAATCGAGGATACTGATTCTTCGACTTCAACCATCGACATTTTACCTTCAATACCTAATGGTACGTAAAGAGGTACAGAGCCTTGCCCCTCCTGGTTTATTCTTATTTAAAAATCAAAAATAAAAAATCTCTTCTTTAATGCCTCAATAAATATTCACTAAAATGACAACAAAAAATTGCGACGGCTAGTCTGTAAAAAATAAAATAATAAAGGATAAAAGTAAATTTCAGTAACGTTGCAACTTTGTTAACTTCCAGTCATCGTACCCGTAGTTTAAGACACAGATCAACCTACTCCGTTATACGAACTTAAATCAGAAAACAGGGCACACTAAAGAGAATAAGGTTAATTACACAAAATAATGGTCGTCATCCTGTGTCCTAATTCGCTAGTGTAGGCTGGACACTAGATACTTAGAATGTTATACTCAAGTACTGATTCCCGCATTCACGCGGTTAAGCAGACCAATACTGGGTAAGTAAACGTTATACGAGAAAGATTCGCTCTGCAAGAGTAACAAAGGTGAACAAAGACGTAAAAACATCGTGGGATTCTGCCTTACACGACTGACAATAAGAAGTCCTTTTTATCGTGTGCAAGGAACCGAGAGGCGTATGAATAAAAGCAACTCATTCCGAGTCTCAGGAACACTTGTACAAAGTCGCGAGCCAGAGAATAAAAGAATTCGGGTACAATTTCAAAGCAAAGCTCTGTTTCAAACCGATTTCTCAAGGCCAGAGACTGCCATCAGTTGTAACGGAGTAAAACAAAATGTGCCTTGAATCGGAGGGAAAAAATTAATTTTAAATTAAAATTTTGAATGAAAAATTCCCAACAGTCTTCAAGTAAACGTACGAAATGCTAGTATTATTACAACATAAAAACGAATTCACGTTCTTTCCAGGGCCGGATTTACCTACTTGCCGCCCATATTTTGCCGCCCCTTCTCATTCGTATTGAAACATCGATACAAACCATCAAGTAAACGTGCCGGAGGAGGAGGGGTGCATAAGACGCGTTTACTCGTGTTGGGCACATTTTTTGTGAAAGCCCTGTCAACACTGACAAAATTTTACGGAACTTTGCGCGAAAATTTAGTTCCGTAAACCTATCTCTGTGTGAACAAGGCCTTTCACTTATAAGAAAAGAACGAACAAATTATGAAAGAATAAACATGAATGCGGTTTAATGAATTTAATTTCCGCCACCACGCCAACCGCACAGTGTTTGGCACAATGCGTTAAGTATCTCTACAGTCTTGTAGGCGCTATGCGTTTCATCCCGACGCGACCGCTGTTGACCGCACTGTTTTTGATGCAATACGTGAAGTATGCATGCAGTCTTGTAGGCACTGAGAGTTTCACGTCAACTGCTGCTGACCGCGCTACGTTTGACGAAATGCGTGAAGTAATCATGCAGTCTTGTAGGCACTAAGAGTTTCACGTCAACTGCTGCTGATCGCGCTACGTTTGACGCAATGCGAGAAGTATTCATGGAGTCTTGTAGGCGCTAATAATTGTTTCATGCTGACTGGCGCGCCGAGGACTTCTCCTTTTCATCTCAAGTCCTCGTCATCATCGCTCTCTGCGCCGCGCCGCTCCAGGCCAAATTGCATTTTTGGTTTCTCTCTCAACCAGACTAATCAAAGGCGCTGTCTCTTGTATCACCGAAAGACGAACAAATTAGAAATTACTATACTATAACTCTCAGGAAATGAAATATTTTTTCGCCTTTTCTCGTTTGTAATTTTTTTTCTGAATCAGGTTTTCTTTTTGATACCTACATTTGAAAAAATTACAACATTTGCCGCCCCCTAAATTTGCCGCCATGGGCCGCGGCCCAAGTGGCCACCCCTAAATCCGGCCCTGGTTCTTTCGTGCGGGATGATTTCAAAATCGAAAGAAGAAGGATTTTTCTTGGTCTTGACTTTCGAATACTCCCAAAAAGAATGAGTCAAAATTTCAAGTCACATCTGGTCACAATCAGGCT